TAGCTTGTTTTCGTTAATGTTTTAGCAATAATTTTTGCTATTTGAATTGAAATTACATTTTGTTATTAATTTTTGTTAATTTGGAATTAAATATTATTTTGTACTATACCTTTATCCTTGATTTTCTTTACGTTTGATTACAAATCTCCATGAAAGATTGGCATAGGAGACCTTTAGAATCTTAATGTACCCACTTCGCGTTAATCACTCAATTTAGCCCTGACCTGTGTTGTTTCTTCGATTCTTTAGTGACCTAACTTTTGAGTTTAATGCAACGATACAATTAAAACAATCAAAGTTAATTGTATTAAAAAACTGACTAATAGGTTTGCTAGATAACTTAAACATTTTCCTTATCTCGTATTTTTCGAGACGTACCGTAAATAAAACAGTTCTCATAGTTAAATGCAGGAGAAAGGGGAAAATACATGTAATTAACAGGATAATCCGATGAGGTGTGAATTAGCAGAAAAGGCAATACCGCAAACTATAAAATCTTTAATGAAGAACTGTTTATAGAGTTTTTTCGTTATTCAAAAAAATCTGCGGGAAAATTCAATTTTTTTATTACAGATAAAAATGAAATTAGACTAAAGTATCAAAGAATTGTATCATTGTATCAATAAAATTTAATTTTGTTATATAGTTTACAAATCCATCACTATTTATTATAAGAAAATATGATCATTTTTTGCATGATTTTTGGTCAAAAATTTCATTTTAATTCGCAACATTTACTACATGTATTGTATATTTATTTCATTCAAGTTTAATTATACATGCGTAACGTTGCAAAAAATCATTTGACATATAATTCACTGGCTACTGACATTTTCTTAACGAAAAGTTTCCTCAAATATAACACTTGACAACTTTTATGGCAAAAGTGGTAAAGTCTTCGATTTTGCTAAACACAAAAGAAATAAAGCTATAATTTCGTTATGATATGCAAAAGAAATACATGTAAAGGCCGAAGCGCTGTTAGAAGTGCTTGCAGATTTATTACATATTCTGGTGTGTATTTACAATTAACACACGAAAATTATACATATATTTGTTCAAAACCAAAACAAACATTATATTAAAATTTGAAATATAATTATTATCATGTGCAATTTTGTGTAATTTGTTCAGGTATTTGGTTAAGAATTTCATTGTAAACCGACACATTTACTTAATGCACATTAATATGTTCAGTAATGCATGTACTGTATAACCCGATTAATATTAGTTAATGATCTACGTATCGATTCGTAAGTGGAATTTATAAAGTCAAAAATTTGAGAAATGATTTTGATGCGTATTTACTATGGTGAAGTACCAGTATTCGCGTACCTCTTCCATTTTAATTTTGGGAGACGATAACTCGACCTCTGATTATTTAAATTTGAGACAAAATATATCACTCAAATTCGTCTTACCGACGCGAATCTAATTTCGGTATTTTTGGCTCAAACCAACAATCGGATGTCTAGCTATCGTGTCCCTAAATAGAATGGAGGTAGTACGCGAGTATTGATAGGTTCACTTTACATTCGCACCTGACATATCCATATGTATAATTTCCAACCGATTCGACGTTCGGAAGTTAGAATATAGTATAATAGATTTTATAAAATGATCATGATGTCATGATGAGATACAGTACTTGATTTGATATTTCATAAATAACAAATTGACAATGTGAATACTTCCAACGAAAGAAAACATTCTGTTAAAACATGCAATTTCAACAAGAAAATGACTCTTCTGTTTCTCTCTCTTCTTCTTCTCTTGATACATCGTCGTCACCCGGAATTCCAATAACTCGCAAAATAATCGACAATCATCTCACACATGCCCTCAATCAGCCGGGAAATCGTATAGTCCAAGCATTACCATTTATCTATTATGTGAATAATCTTATCATACTCTTGCGTGAAGCAGGATTCGTTTTTGTGATTCAACAACAACAATCTCGAAATGCATCATATTTTAAAGTTATTGATCTCATTGATGACTCGAAAAGAGTAGTAGACTTGGAATAATTAATCGTTATATTCTAGTGAAGGAAAGATTTTGCAAGCACAGTATTTATATATTTATATATATAAAGTATAAATAAATATCAATATTATGTTTTCACAGCAATCTAGGCTAAGAATTGTAAAGATAGATAAAAAAGCAAAATTTATGTTCTAAATAAAATTGCTTCATAATTTTTCAATAAACAATCACCATTTTAACAGTAGATTGTTCATTTACTTATCAGGGGAAGTCAAATGCATCTTCAAGATTGCTGAGTGTGACTGATTTACATCAAACAATAATTGAAATGCAGAATCTCGAGTCTGTTTGAAGTGAGATCAATAACAAGTCAGGTTAATAAACCGCTTTACTTATTTGTAATCAATAATAAAAGACTTTTGAAGGGTTTAAGTTCAGTTATGGAAGTCTAATGACAGTTAATAAGAAAACCAGGTAATCAAGTTTATATCTTGTGTTTATGAATTTGTATTCATTGTCTGTTATTTTAAATATGCAAAGTAATTTGCAAGTTTGTAAAAATGACAAAATGCAAAAATATATAATATACAAAGGGACCCTCGTTATAGTAAAAGCTCAATAAAGTAAATATTAATTAAGATGTTCTTTTGTATAAAAGATAACTAAATAAATAAATAAACAGATAGTTCATTAAAGAGGTGCAATATTATTTATTGATAATAACGAAACCATTCTTATTCAAATTAAATATTATAGTCATTTGTTAGTGTGTGTTTATGGAATTGTTCAAGGAAAATAAAATATATTAAATTTTTAATAGTAATTTTACTGCTGTATTCTATTATTGTGATAAATTTGCTCTTCCCAAAGAGATATCTAACCTTATCATTTATAGCCAATACTCTAATTAATTATTCAAAAAAATACTTTTAGAATCATTTCAATATATTAATAAGTACATGTACAGTGTCATCATGTCAAAATTAAAAATAAAAATCCGATACATGTTGAATTTTCAACAATGAATAAAAATAAATTCATACATACTGTATATCAGATTAATTCAAAATCACATTAACCCTTTAACGGCAAACAGAAACATCAAATTTCTCTCACTCCCCCTTAATGTCAACAGGTCTGACAAATTCGTCGGCCAGTTGATCATAATTTTATTTTCCGTTAACCATTCCTTGATTTATTTGAGTTTATATTGTAAATCTGCATCAAAGGAAATTTCATTTTTTTTATTATATCTTTCATAAATTTTCTTGTCATTATTCGATGTCATCTGCCAAGCTTTTAGTTAAACATGAGATTTCAATCTTTCGAGATTTCGTTCATTCGGGATGTCGCTCATTTGGAATGTCATTCATTGGAGATTTCGTTCATATCGGTCGTATTACCATAATTTTCGTAAAATAACGTCCATGTGTATTATTTCGAATAACGGCCCGCATTAAGCTTAATTCAGGCCGAAATTAGAAATTAAACCCTGCGCCGTTGTTTCGCGAAAGTACGGTATTCGGGATGCCGTTTATTCGGAATTTTGATCTTTCGGGCTTATGAAAGTTTGGGGTTTCATATCAGATCCATTTAAAATAATGTGTATGCTGGTTTTGCTGCAAATTTTTTTTTAGCCCAATTTGAGAATCGCTAATTCTGACAATAAAAAGGGTTTCTCTTTTTTCAATACTACCTAGATATAATATGATAAAATTCTGAATATCGTATATGACCGACCGAAAATAAGAAACCCGAAATTAGATCTTTCAAAGATCGAAATTTGGGGTTTATTATTTTCGGAACTTTTCAATTTGTTATCTCCAAATGAATGACATCCCGAATGGGTATTTAATGCATCTTGGGATACATGTACTATACTTTGGAATTTCGATCTTTCGGGATGTCATTTATTCAGATTTCGTTTGGGATTTCGACTGTTACCGATTTTAAACAAATAATTGGGACCAACATTTATGATATAAAATTTTAATTTATCGAAAACGTATTCGTTAGCTCATCCGCTAGATTCGATTCACTAGACTCATGTTCAATGACATATTATCACGTTATCTCAAGCAGTTAATTTGTTTCTAAAATGGTAATAAACAAATTTCTACTTATCAATGTCATCATATTTTTATTTCTCTTATTGATTCAGAATATTATTGTATCTAGCACATTTAGCCCAATTTATTTTAATAGTAATAAATAATCAATCACTATTAAAAAATATCTTTTTGAATATATTATCAACTTAATGTACAGTTTATTTTACTAATAAAAGTAATGTAACAGTCAAATCTCCATGATCGGTATTATTAGTAAAATTTGAAAAATTCAGTTATTAAGGTTTATTCGGTATATCGAGGGAGATTTTACGATGACTGTTCCTGGAACTAACTTCAGTTTATCAGATTATGATTAATATTTCGGTTTAACGAGGTTTGACTGTAGTTCGACATTGAATACAACTTTAAATTGTCAATGATAAAAATTAAAAATGAAGAAAACTATAGAATGATTAGCAAAATGAAATTAATATTAATAAGTACTTTGAAAGGAAACAAGATACTCTATTAAAAGCGATAAATTCGTAGAACGATCAATACTGTAGGTTCAAGGAGATTGTGATGCGTTATACTGAATTGCTAATGGAATAAGAGCATAATGGTAAACGAAATGTTTAAGCATAATCTAATAGTTTATCTTCAAACGATATTTGTAGCTCTATATATTACTTATTGAAAAGATTACAAATTTATTATATGTTGATTCGTGATGCTTAAAATTATATAAATTAATAATTGGAAGTTTCAATTTAAAGATATTATAGAAAAGGATATAATTTTTTAAGGAGAGATTTAACTTGCCATACATGTTTTCTGTTAAGAAAGCGAGCATTTTGCAAATCAAATATTAAAGAGCTTACTGGCTAGCAAATATTCCATTACAATATTTCATAAAAATCGTCATATGAATAAGAAGCGTGTCCTGCTTTTTTATACGCGAAAATGTATACGAGATATAAACTGGGATACGAATGGCGTATCGAATAGAGTAAAACTGTGAAAGATAAAAAAGTAATGTATAGAAATATGAAAAATCTAATGCAAACAAGGATACGTAGGATATCGAATAGAGTAACGTAAAGTAATAAAAAGATTAATTTATTATAAACGATTCTAAGAATGTAACCGAAATATTATTATCATTGATTTGATATGATAGTAAATGGCTCATTAAAAATAATATGGCTTCCATTATAATATTATAATATGCTGGTGCTGAAGGTAATGACAATGGTTGATTCTGCTGGAGGTTGGACTGCTGGTTTTGGAGTATATTCTGTTGTTGAATTACTTATTGCATTTGCAATGGATTTTGTGTTTCATTCATAATTCAGTATGATCAAATAAAGTTTCAATTTGGAGATATCATATTATAGAATAACAATTTAAACAACTTTTTTGAAATATCGAATTTTTCATCCTTTTATCTCCACTTTAATAAAAAAATACAACCATTGAACACCAGAAAAAAACCACGTATATACCAGCAATCTAATCAATCATCATATTCGTCAGAGCCCATTATAAAACTTTTGTATATTTATTTTCTTTATTCATGTATACCAAAAACGTAATTATACTCGTGATAATTGGTTAGTCAATCTCAGTATCATATACTACGACTTTTACTCTGGTCTCGAAATAGTGGGCTAAATATTTATTACATGCATAGGAAGGTAAGAGGGAAACAATCGCAAAAATGGAGTGATTTACGGTACGTTTGAATGAAATAAATGAAATGGGGGGGGGGGGGAATTCCATCGGAATGTACATTTTGATTAATGCGTTAAGAAAGTCATTGGAAACAAAAACAAAAATTCGTATAACTTTTCCGTTTTAAGTTACTAAAATATTGTTTATTTGCAAATCCTTTACATTGTTCTTTGTTATTAGAATAAGTGCGTTCTTCAAGATGTACTGTACATACAAAGCTATTCAACGATTAAGGATAAAATGCAAAAGAAATGTGAAAAAGAACAGATCCAAATCTTAATACATGTATGAGTAATATAAGTGACTATTTTGTGTTTTCAAATTACCGTAAGCTATCAATTTTAATTAAGTACCCCTTATTAGTTAGCACCACTTACGTTTGCAGTGATTTCTAAATTTAGCACCATTAACATTATATTATAAGTAAAAATTTAAATAATCTAATTTCTATTATTATTTGATTTGAAAAATAGCTGATTTTTAAATTAGCATCGTTTAGCTAAAAATGATCATTTTCCCGGTGCTAAATATTGAATGAAGTTTACGGCAAGAGGAAAATCTAATTAAAAAATTCACAACTTGGTTCAATAATACTACCATTAATAATCAATCCAGTATAATCAATCAAACTTATTTTTTTGCTCTGAAGAAACCTACATAATGTCAAAAACTGGGAGAAGAGAGATATGTTATTTTGATATAATCGAGTTGATTATATACATTAGAGTGGTTGTACCATAAATTTTATTTGTTACAAAGAGCATTGGAATTTACTGAAAACATTAAACTAATCAAAATAAAAAGAATCTTCAGAGCGTTTATTTTCCAGAAACGTAAACAATGTTTACAATGGAAGTTATGAGAATCAAGATGTGTACTTCATAGTTATTCTGCATCTCATCAGTGTGTTATAATTTACCGTGGGGAAGATAATGATTATCGGTTATAGTCTGAATGGAACCAATGTGAACTCAATATACATATGTAATGTAAGCAACATTCAAATTACATGCAGTACTTATAAGATATGAAGACATCTCAATAAAATTGCCAACTCGGAAGTTGAACACTTAAATGATTTCTAATGTTTTACTCGAATTATATAAGAACAGTTATGATGATAAAGTATTTACCAAATTGAAACTATTTTAAGCTGACTGAAAGTTACACCCCGATGTCATTCGAAAGGAGAGATGAAGTGGAACAAGAAGAAAATTATGAACTTGACTACGAAAATGAAGAAAAGGACAAAAACTATTCTGGGGCACTTGAAAAGAGAAATTAACAATTTTTTATTATTAAACAAACACTGCATATTGAACTAGTTCGTGTATATAAAAAGGTTCTTTCAATTTCTTCTATTTCTTGGTATGAATTCCCAAAATTAATGTTGATAAATTTTCTTTTACTGTAGCAAATTTTTTAGAATTTACATTACATATTATATCAAACTTTCGCAGAGGACATTATAAGATTTCTATTATATTTTTTATGATGCATCATAATTTTGTGCAAACTAATCTAATATGTCCATATCCAATAAAAGTTCGATCAAATATCTGCCAGACAATACATAATAAAAATTTTATAATGCGTGACGTGCATTTTGTCTGTGCTAAACTTATACACTATCAGATACGTGATGAAATGCCCTATTTTGTGATTACCTCTCGAGCTAAAAATAATTGCGCGCAATACCTTTTCCTTGGGTAAACCAGGGGTTAAATAATACTGAAAAATTACAAAGTTTCAATTGCCCAAAATGGCCTATTTTTGACCCTATTTCAGACCAATCGGAGAATAAATTCACGTGGAAATCTTTGGTCAACCAATCATTTTTAGTTCGCCAATCTAAATTTTTTGTGATCGAGTCTTTATTAAGCAAATCTACTAAGAAAAAATACTCAGTATGTAATTTTGGATATAATCTTGAAAATCACCCTGTATGTTGTTTATCAACCGTGTATACCTATCGATCACATAAAGGTTACAAAAGCCGGCACTCATCGATTAAAATTTACCCAAATAATTCACCGTAATTTTGATACGATAAACTTGACATCTGAGTTTAAAATATGGGTTTGACATGTCTAAAGTGTGGGCAAAAATATAGTGATTTTGCTCTAAATTTGCCAGCATTATATCCCGGTGAAACCTACCCTGTTCGAACTGTGCTACCTCAATTCTATAGAAAATACTTGAAAGTTTCTATGGATAATATCCAAAAGCATGAAAACATCCCAAGAACAGTGGATGAGCTTAATGCTGTTCTAAAGAAGGAATGGTCAAAATTTTTTATCTAATTAAATATAAAGATCTTTTATCTATAGAGTTAATTGCAATAATATATGAAGTTTTATTTTAATTGCAAATCGGGCGTTACTTTTGTGATGGCTTCGTATTAAATTACATGTCTTGTATAATGTTAAAAATCAGCAATACATATAATATGGAATGATTATGTAAACGCATGACAATATTGGCGTCATACTATGTGTCAAAAGTGACGGAAACTTACTTGTACTCAAGATAATAAATGAATAATGCTGACATTATGACATAGTTAGCTTCTGTGACATATAGAAATTCTAAGTTTCTACTTTTATTTTCACAAATAATTTGTAATTACAGAAGGAATTTAGCATATTCTATCATCCTCTATGCTTTCCTTTGATAGCTCGCTCGTTAAAACACAACAAAAATTCTAAACAAAGAAAATATTTTATTTAAACCAGATACATTTTAAGTTAAATAAAGACATTGTAAATAAAAATAAGAATTTCTAAAATATTTCTAAAAAAATTAGGTCAAAACAAAATTTTCGTTAAGACATTGGCCTCTTTGTTTTCATTATAACAAAAAAATAGAGCTTGTTATAGACGTTGTCAATATGTCATATATTTTTGTGTTATTGAAAATTTTGATGAAAAAAAATTTTAAAGCTCAGCATGTTGATAGCTTGTTACTAACATGATAAAATCTATGTTACTGTATTGAAAATTATCGAAGTTATTAAATGTACACAAAAAACAAATGAACTATGACTCTAATATAAGGCAATAATAAGATACTGGATAAGAAAGCAATGAGGCAATCCTATATATCAATAAATCTTCGAGATTAATAACAATCATACATAATGGCAAATGAAAATTGTTATAGAAGATGAAAACTCACTTTCAACGTTTTTGATATTTGACCATTTTGAATTACTTGAAAGTTAATCGAAACGCGAACGCATTGACATAATATCATCTTTATCATCATTATCCTCCTCTAGTTGCAAATAACATGAAAAACGCACATCAACTCATATTTGAACATTTAAATATCATCCAAGGTTAACAAGATGCACGGGATGGCTGGATTTTGATGATCAAAGAAGTCCAGAAGCAAATCGATGTCGTCTGTTTTTTTGCCAATAAATTCACTGAATATTAGGTACCATTCTCATATTATTCTTAGTCGCCGGATGAACTATTGGCTGTTTGAGGTTACAAATTTGATCATCGTTTTCGTAATTTATATCTCGTCTTTGTGGATAAAGTGTTTGAGAACATGTATTAGTGGACGTGCTTCATAACGGCGAAATTAATTGGTTTAGGTTTTGACACCGGTAAAAACGATATAAAATGATATATAAGTGGGTATGATTCTTTATGTAGGGGTCGATAGATAAATAATTTCATTGATATCATAACGCACTAAACATGAATAATATCCCCAGTCTCTTGGGATATTATATGAATTATACATGTGTAAAAGTAGCGATAATTAGGACAATCTGAGACAATCAATTTGAGCCGTATAAAAAATAAAAATACTTTTGATCACATGTATAATTTGAGTGCATTACGATATCTCATAAAATTAAGTGAAATGGATTTTTTTATATTGTAAACCTCTGCTTGACCGCTTTATTTATATCTATCATAAACTCCGATCTGATTTGGAAGGTATATTAAATGAATTAATAGAAATACAAAATACAAGTGCTATTTATTTCATAATTAAAAAGTACATGTATTGGTTCGAACACTTATGCTAGCTAAATAGTAATAATTTATAACCATGCTTACTTGTACATGTACATGTACATGTTATTTTATTTATACTGGTGCATGTAATAAGTATAATCTAAAATCAATCATTAACATGATAATTAAACCTAAGATTGACTGATTAAACAAAATATTCAGATACTTTAATAACAAAACTTTCTATAGTGTATGACGTTTTCTTATAAAGATTGCGAAATTAAAATTATCTCTTCTTTGATTTGTTAAAATTTTCATTTAAATTGTTAAGTAGTTTAAAATAAACTCAACTAGCTACTATACCTGTTTAAGAGACTTTATAATATACTCTCATCAATATTGTATTTATCTCATGCCCAAACTCAAGCGATGTTCTTTTGTTTTCGTATTACAAGGTTCTAGACACATTGTATATCTCTAATATTAACTATAAACGGATTATGAATACACTTAATTATCCTTAAAATAAGCAAATTTGTATTTTATTTTAAACAAATTATTATCATAAATATAAGGTTCTTTTAATAAATCTTTGTTTCCCTTAATTATATAATGTAAACTGATAAGATATTATAGGTTCCAGTCACGCGATTTCTTCGGTGCTATGATTTGCCAGGCTTTTATAAACTAAAAAAAAATCAATGACTATAAGATTATTTATTTGATTCGTAGTCTCCTTTGATTGACTTCTGTATTTAGGTGATAATGAAAACATTTCAATAAGTATTTTTCTTTTTTCTCTTACACAATGGATCTTCTATGAGTCCCAGTTCGCGTTTCTCTTTAGCTAATAATGTAATTCTTCTTATACAATACAAAATAGAATCTATAATGTGCCTTTCATTTACGGGTCCCACGTCGATACAAAGTTGAAATGATATAGTTCTCAGATCGCGTTTTCATTCTTACAATACTTACATAATACAAAGCTTAGATATGAGTGCTTCCAGATCGCTTTTTTTTGCTTTAACGAATTTATTTTATGTCCCAATACAATTCAGCCTCAAGAATAAATAGTCCAAACTGTATTTTTTAAACTTGCACCAATCGGAAGACTCATAATATTGCTTACATAATAGTCCTGCATCAAATAAATAATTAAACCATTTAATAAATCTGAGAAGATCGTGTGCCCCAGGCCGCGCTTTTGTTATGAATAAAAAGATAATCTTAAGTATATAGATCTCAATTCTCAATCTCGTGTACATTTATTTACAAGCTTTGATCTATAATAACTTTAAAACTTTATTAAAAAATATAACAGCAGGTTATAAATAACCATATTAAGAAATTAACCATATTACCATTTATATGTTGTACATGAATGCGGGATCTATATGAAAATAACACAAATTAGAATATGGTAATGAGTAAGTTAAGAGAAGTGTTGGAAATAAAATTAATAATTCTAAGCTCACGTATAAATCTTATCCATTTACAACAAATATTCAGAGGTCACTTGTATTGTTCTAAAATTAAATTTTGTTTGCTTTTTGAACTAGTTTATCAATTAGAATAACGGATATAAACAATACCCTTAAAATTCATAAAGTACCGGGTGCAGTAGTACAAAAAATGAAAAAACAGCCCTAAATCAGAGTTCTCGTATGCACAGCTTAGTATAAGAACTCAATATAAAACTTAAGAATCACTAGAATCTTTTGCTTATCAAAGTTTACCTTGTTATAGTGAACATATTTTACGCCTATCTGTGAAATTTTATTACCGTTATGAGAAATAGCACAGAGGAGCCGTCGATATAACGGACGGATCGGTTCTTTAGTGAAAAATCTCATTATATCAAAGGTCTATTAATGAAACCGGTATATAACGGCGATTTACCCGTTATGGATTAGAATCCGTTGTGTCTTTTATAAAGAATTAATAACATTATGGTTATACATGTATACAATAGGATTTCAATCTGTCATTATCTTTATTGATTTAGCTGTCGTATAAATTCACTTATGGATTCGCATTTAACGCATTAAAAGTAATTATTCTTTTGTGCTGATGTGATACAATTTTCTTATTTTGTTCATTGTATGATAATTCATTTAGAACCAATTAATTCACTTGACTAAAATTTTAAGAATTCGATAATTAATACATTCTTGTAAAATTAAAAACACATGCACTTAATAATTTATATAATCATTTTATATATGTATTAAAGCTAAACATTAATTGTATTGATAATTATATATATATTCAATCACCTTTAATTAAATTGATTCAATCAAAAAATATTAATAGAATTAAAACTGAAGATCACTCTCGATTATATTTGTTACCCATATTAATATGGGACAAAAAAATTCTTTTTGCTTTCATAAATAATTAAATTTAAAAAAATATTGCAAATGTATTATTTTTAACTATATTTATATATATACTTCTTAAAAATAAATCATTAATAAAATCATTGAGATAATTAAATGGAATATGGGTGAGATTTGGAATATGGGATGAAAAAATTCTCTTTTTTTGAATATGGTTGTCAAGTATACTCTCAATCAACGAATGTAATGGATCTTTTATAGCAAATTTATTGATGTATCTAGAAAATTAAGTATAACTATCTGATTGTTTTTCGCTCGAAAATATATTTGAATTCACCTCGACATAATTATTCAATTGTACATGTACATGATCGTCATCGTTGTGATCAAACACGTGACAATGATTGTCACATTTAATAATGGAAAATCATAAATGAGTCGGTAAAATAATGATAAAATCCTATAATTATGCTTGCTCTAATTATCTGCACAAAATACAAGGTACAATGCGCGTTATCTCGTTTATTGTGATCTTATCTGCAACAAAAATGGTGTTTAAGGGTTCCCGTGATCTTGGCGCATACCAGCGAATATCATTGAAATAATTTTTTATAGAAAAATATAGAATATTTGAATTTTTTAAATATTCTATATTTCCACTTAAAAAAATTCAAAAAAGAAAAGTTAAAAAGAAAAGTAAAAAGAAAAAATAAAAATAATTTAATATTTTTTATTTTTTATTTTTAATATTAAATTTCATTTTTATTATATATTTTTATTTTCGAGTTAATTTCTAAAGAAAGAAAAAACATGAGTCAAAGACAGTCTTCATCATCATCAAGACAAAGTGGTCCAGGTCCTTCTTCAAATAATAGCATACATTATTTCTGAGTATGCATGCGATCTTGCTTTGTATTCTATTAATTTTTCTTGTTAGACTGAGCTTGATATATGTTTAGATGCTAATGTGCTAAGGAATTTATATTCCGTTTTTGTTGTTTCTTTGGGCAGCTTCCCAAATCCTCATATCAGACAAAAGTTCGCGATGAAATTTCGGATTTGTGGTATTCATGTTCACGTTATAGAGATTTACATATTCCGCATGTATTTTAATCATTTATGTTTATTGCCGAATGTTGATAAGCCCTCTTTCTGTATTGATGTATAATTTTTATTATATAAAATTAGAGTTTCAAATGATTACACCAATAGGTATGAATAATACATGTTTGTACTTGCCTTGAGTATCTCACGTAATTTCGATTCTTTCATAAGCAATTAGATGATCTTAGGTTTTTTCTTCATTTCAATTTTTAAGATAACACTTGTGTTGCTGCTGATATTTCCACGACAATCAGCAAAAAGATCTCAATTAGAAATCTGGTGAATTACTAAATTTTAACTCAAGAAAACAATTGTGAAATCACATACTCGTAAGTTACGGGAGTTCGATGATGACTTGAAGACGGCAACACTACTTTATCTTCAGGAGATACATCTCAAAAGATTGTGTAAGGTATTCTACTTCGGGGTGACGAATCTGACGATGGTAATATTGGAGTTGAAGAATTGATTCTGCCGCATTTGTTGTTGATTTTCCTAACTCGACTAAATGCGACATCTCTTTAGCATCGAGTATTCTGTTATGATTTTCAATAGTTCTGGTCTAATACAATAACGAAAAGAAACATCAATTCACTGATTTATGAGATCAATAAATCATATTCAAAACCTACCTAATTATATTATACTGATTCACTATATCTTGAAGAATAGTTTCCTTTCTAAGATCGTTGGGAGAACACATTGCATGACAAAGTGGACACCCCGGGTTTCTAGTAATACATACGTCAATACAACTTGCGCAAAAGACGTGCCCACATTTAGCAATCATTGGCGTCTGGAAGAATTCAAAGCAGACCGAACATCGAAGAAGTAAGTCAAGTCGTTGGTATTCGGGATGTGGCCAATCTGAAGGATCGGTCAACGGTTGGGTATCAGTTTTAAGCAAGAGCGACATTTTTTTTATTTCTGGCTGTTTTATAGAAGTGGAAAAAGTGAGATCTGGTTGTTCACTTCGAACTTTATAATTCTTCACTTAATTTCTTTATTGATTGGGTTTTTTATTAGTAATATCAGTTTGACAGACAATCGTGCAGCTTATAACTTTATAAATTACCAGTTAAACAACAAAATGAACAAAACGTGTGTTCGATAGCTAGCTTCGAAAGCGACCCCTGATTTTATATCGGTTTCTGATCACATGTTAACAAACTGCGCAAATCATATTTGGGAAGGCTGTGTAACTGTTGATAAGAATTTTTCGAAGCGACATCAAATGTTGAAGGTAAAATTTCAATTTTGGCTGGTTTTTCATATTACTAATTAATTGTAAGATATTCATGATAGCTATTAATAATGATTATTCCCAACATGACGTTACTCATGTCGATATATTATTAATACTGTGGGAATATAAATTTTACGTCATTCGCAAGATATCTATGATCACTATTAATAATGATTATTCCCAACATGACTTTTTTCGTTAGTGTCCTTGTGATTTGGTCATGTGACTTGGTTTTTTTTGCCGTGTTATTGAACATATATCGATATGATAACTCGGGTCCTCCAAGGTATTAAGTAATAATCCCGACCTGATTTAAAACTCGGGGTCGGGTTAAATAAAAAATCTTGAAGCTACAGTATATTATAGTCCAAGAGACATTTAATTTCATGTTTTCCAATCTTCCAAAATAAATGTAAAACATGTACTGCCTATTTTTCTTGCCCTAAAAGTTAAATATTATTAAAAAAATTGCCAATAAATATATTCATCTTTTACACTTTTACATGTGCTATTTTGTATGAAGTCTTACAGAATTTTTCTTCATGGTGTATTGTTGCACATCAATGTTATTAGCAAGTTAGTATATCGTTTTATTGAAAGCTAAACTTTTAAAGAATCTAAAATTTTTATATTTTGCTCATTTATATTGATATTTAAATTACAATGTTGTTCCACAAAGTATACTCGGACCGTACTAAAATGAAACATCACAACAATTACATAACATATAAGGACGATCGTTATAATCAATAGCGGGCTTTTACCGTGTACCCCATAAAGTTAACTATATAAAATATTAATTGTGACAGAAATTATATTAAAATGAAAATATTTATAATTATTACGTAATATAAAAAATTACACCAGTAATTTTAAATAGTATTCCGAAGACAATAGATTACTATCTACTCTCGTCTCAGCGGTGTTAATTTTCGTTTGTTTTTTTACCAAATTTTTGCAAAATGCATTTCGCATTTTTCACCATAAAATTATTATGCAAAGAATCGCGAACAAGAACTTCATTATTTCTTATATATATATATAACAACAGGTGCATCGAAAATCGAAAATATAAAAGTTCCGCTTATGAATTTACGACAAAATAATAAAAAATCGAGTTGAAACAATAACAAAATAATCTACTATTCTAATTTAACAAATATCAAAGACAAATTTTTTATACAAAATTACCAAGCAAATCACTCTCGTTTTCCAATATTGATGATAAATGTGATTGTCCGGAAAGATTAACTCTTCACAGTGATCCTAATTCAAGGCGTTTTTTGTGATACACGTACAAAAAATAATTAAAAGGACTTGTGTATAAATGTACTCTTACTCCTAATTGTCATGCGCGGGCGAACTGCAGTAATTTTAGCATAATAAAGTTTGTACATGTAATACCATTTAATAAGAAACGAAGACACTTGAATACCATTGAATTATTTTCCGTAAATTTCATACTGCATAACAAAACGCGTTCCGACTTTACGTTTTTTTATTTAGGAAATTAATTCATTCTCCGTCAAAAGGCTTCGGAATAAAAAATGATTGCAAATTTGAAAAAATTCACGAATGAACTGGCAGTGCAAATTATTTCCATAAAGTTCTCATATATCTGGTGTGATGAACTACTGTCCATTTATTTCGGAATCATCGTTCGATTAAATTAGCTACGAAAATCGAAACCATTTGACGGTATTCACAATATCTAAGAAACCGTCTCGAATAGAATCTTATGTAATACTTGTATATGCAAAAAATGTTCTAACCAAATTTATTTTATTTTCATAAGAATAATGGTAAAAAAAGCATCATATTGCAATTTGAGCAAATTCAGCACTCCTCCTAAGCCGCCACAATTTTAGCAAAGTATAGGTCGCGTTGTTGCCTGAACAAACCTTCACAGAATTATGATTATTTCTTTGAGATCGGATGAACTTCCAACTTACTTATAACTCTAGTCCTGGTAAAGTCCCGGTTTGCTCAGTTTGACGAATATTATTTAAACGAAACCTTCTGAAATAGATTATTAGATTACAATATTATCTAAATTTTAAAATATAAAGTCCACTTTACGAATCTTTATTGCAAAATCATTTGTGTCACTCTTTATTTACTCTATGTTTTTAGAAAAACTCGTTTATGCACTCACCATGTTTATGTGATTTATTTTTATTTTTATCTTATTAATCGGCAAATTCGTGTCATATTGATTATATTATTCTCATATGAATTTTCTGCTTTGATGATCTGATCTTTGAATTCATTTTCAAAGATAAATGATAAGTGCGATTGAGAATCGATAAATCTTTTGTTAAATGATTATTTACCGTTACTAAATATATTTATTGTGCGAACATTAGTTATATTTAGTAGCTGTTCTAGCATCTATAAAATATAACACATATTATTTAAAGTTTATACTTAATAAATGAAATTATTTCATATTCAAAAACAAATTACCAAAATGACATGACTGATTTGTATATTCTATCTTAATATTAAAATGTTTCATTTATGTTAAATGGCTGAGACTTGAATTTTTCGGAGTTTGAACTCAGCATTTTCAAATGTAATTATTAATTAATAAAGAAAGAGAACATTCTTCCGTCTATGCTATTTAATTTTTGTTTGATGCAATAAATATTAACAGCAATAACAACAACAATAATATATAAATATAGAATAATACGAGTTACAATCTTTAGAGAACTTAATTATGCATTGGAACTAGCCCTAAATTATTATGCTTTTATTTAATTAAAAAAAATAGATATAAAGACAATGAAAATGTTTGAATCATTGTCGTCTCTAAGATAGGTGTTTTTAAAATGGTTATTTTAACTAAAGCGCAAAAAAAAATTCCAAAATCAAGAAATCGTTGGACATTCAAGGTATGCTTTTAAAGACGTCTCTTGTTTTTTTTACCCAAGATTTTTTGTAATGCGGGTATCAAACATCGTTTAGGAAGACGAGTCTTTGCGCGAATTATATAAAAGGCATGGGCCTAAATGGTCTTTGATTGCGAAATCTCATAAAACTCGATCCGCGAAGCAATGTCGAGAAAGGTGTGTGTTACACTTTCTAAAAATGAATTTGTTTAAAAATATTTTGGCTGATTATTTTTGTAACATTATCAAGGTGGTTGAACCATCTTAACGATTGTGGTAAGAATTCAGTTTAGTTGATCAAGAATCGCTCATTTTCATTAACATTTTACCTTGCTATTTTAGTAACAAAAACGCCATTTACTAATGAGGAAAAGGTCAAAATCTGTTATATGCACCAAGAATTCGGAGCGCATTGGTCGAAAATCTCTAAACATCTACATGGTCGGTCTCCTTTAAGTATTAAAAATCTGTGGAATAATAGAGAAAGAACCGAAACACGAAACATTAATAAAATGGCAATTAATTTTTTGTTAAATTGAATCATATTTAATATCCCTTTTTTTAAATTAACACATAACTAAGCATAAACATTATTTTAAGCTAAAAATTTTAATTATAGATAATATAGATGTATATGCATGCTATCTAAGATTTAATACCTAAATTATGATGCAAATAATGTACCACTAATTAGTAAAAGAAATACACACAACAACATTTAATCATATAGTTTAGTTATAAATGGATGATTTTACAATTTGTTTCTACATATGTCTATCTAAATTATCGGGAACTTTTAAAAAAGAAAAATTTTCTTGATTCATGCAAATTTCGTTTTAATGTCATGTACATTGATCATCGGAATCGGAGAATTTGGACCGCACCGTAATGCATGTACATGTACAAGTGCTCGTGTACGTTGCAGATCGATGCTAAAGTAAATGACGATGCTTAAAGCGGAATCCCATTTTTGTAACTCTAAAAGATATTTCACCACAAATGCTAAGATCTGTTCCATAAATGACCTTTGAACCTCATACATGTACTGAAAAAAAAAATAGCACAAATCCTATCTCGTATCATTTTATTTACAAATTTATTAAACTAATGTGAAAAAATTTCTAAGGATCATTGCTTTGTATTTTAAACTCATGTGAATACTGCAACTCGTACTTAATCAATGTTGATGACATGTTCCTAAGCTGAACATAAATAGTAAACAATATATCTCTATTGTTTCTACAGATTTTAACATAAAATGATTGGGTTAAATTTTTTCCAATTCTAGACTACCCCTACTTAAACTAACGGAGTCTGAAACCTAAAAGAACATTATATGAGTTGAATTTATTCTGTCATTTAAAACGTGGCGTTATTCCTTACCATTAATGGACTACAAGACTCTAGTATAATAATAGAGTAAATACTTGCTTTCAGTATGCATACAGAAAGAAATAAATAATATTATCGTAGATAGGGTTAGGACCTACTGTACATACTGAGCCTGGTTACTTTACTTTAACCAAGTTTGTGAAACTATCACTTATGTTCCATATCGGGTTTCCCAAGTTATCCTTTCTATTGTGATCTCATCAGCTTCTCTGCAGACATTATATGTATATAAGATCCCGAGTGATAGCACATTAGCTTTACCTTGTTTGGGAAATTCATACAAAGATATCAAGAGGTCAGGCTCATATATTTCTGCCTAAAAAAATTGCACTAGCTGGAAACACTTGTATTTGTGAATCCGCACTCTCATGGATTCTGTTATTAGTTTAATTATTGTTCAAATGAGTAAGTTCAGCAATTAAAAAAAGTAATAGAAGCCGTAATCTCGTTAAAAGGTCGGTTCATTATTTAATTATTTAGAATACTAACTGTTTATAATATAGTTTTAAAGTTTATCACAGTAAATTAATGTCTATTTAGTCATTGAACAAATGACAAAAATCTGGTAATTGAATTATCCTTTAAAACTCATTTAATAACTGCCTTATTTGCATTTATATCAAAATGAGGCACAGTTTACATCGAATGCTATCTTCTGGAAATCCATCAATAGTTCAAAATGTTCGATCAAATTTACCTGGACAATATCGGTGATTTTTGAAATCAGAATCCAGCTTCTTAAATTAGTCTCGGGTGCATAGTTCTGTATTTCCCACGAATAAATGAAACACTTGATCTTGTATGTAGTGGACTATTTGTCGAAAAATTAAATTTTGATGATTATGTATTTGTCATACATAATAATAATAACGATAATAAAAAACTGACTGAAGATCTTTCTAAACAAGAATTCAATGAATTACTTTTTGATGTTTTCATGTACTGGTAATGTATGACACACATGTACATGTATCATGTTTTTTATGAAGTTTGAATTCTATATTTTGTGAACCGAATTTTTAATGTTTTCAATAACAGCTACATGTATCGATAATTTGAAAACTACGCTTCAAATTAAGTGAACATATGCGTACAATTAATCTCGAAGAAGCAACATACACTCAGCTCAGTAAATAAAACGGGAGAGATACAATATATTTGTGTAAAATTATTTAGCAAACAAACTCAGCAAATTAATAAAACCAATCAAGTGGTCAATATACTTTTTTCAGTGTATTCCTTCTTTTTTTGCTTAAATTATTTTCAATTTATGGAAATACCAATATTACTAATTGGTATATTTTACTTTATTCGAAAAGATATCTAAGAAATATGCTAATTTTAGCTTGAAGTAGAATCTCGACCCAAAATTGTAGTTAAAGTCTAAAACCAATAAAAAAAGTGGATTAAATGTTAATTAATAGAAACTGATTTAAAAACAAAAATTATAATATGATGAAAACACTAGCTCGTACTGACAAATACTTATCGTCATCAAACCATATGATATTCATTTTTAACTTCGACATTCCTGAATAATTTTTTTTATTTGAATTGCATTTGTAAATTTGATTAATACCTGTATATAAGAGTTTTTTATCGTAAATATGAAACTTATGTATAGTAATTGAACTTCTTTAAGTATTGAGATTATTTATAACGATAAAATTCATGAATTCGCTTTTTATTGCTAATAATACATGTTTATACAAAGCGAAGAAGGCATTTACCAGATTCAATGAAAGGATCCAACAGCATATTCACAGAAATTGAATTAGATTATCTTTGAAAAATAATACAATATCAAGATAAAAGATCTCAATTCTTCGATATCATAATGGAAACATCAGTCCATGCACGAAAATTTAAATATTATGTTTTTACCCATTATACAATTTTTAATAAAATTATTAATTTTATACACTGATCGAACGGGGTATCTTCACAATTTTATATAATAAATAAAATTAGGTTAAGCAGTGAGCAAAATAGTTGTCAAAATAAAATGAAATAACATGTAAAATATAAGATATAGCTGGTTGAACAAACCCGGATAAAAATTAGATTAAAACCACACGAGTTTAACCATATAATACAATAAATAAACAACTTAGATTTCTCTTTGGTCAAATATATAAGGTCAAAATTAGGGTTACTAAATAAAATCGTATTATATATACCTGGTAACGCTCAAAGTCAGATGCTAATTCATTGCGTGTAACCCTCGTGTGCTGGATACATTTTCCATTTTTCTACTCCTTTTTTTATAAGCGATAACCGTTTATTCTCCAAAGGCTCTCAGATTGGACCTAGAATTGTTGAAAAAGATCCCTGTAATGCCTTGAGAGCAGGAATCGATGCTAACCAAAAACATGTTGTGAAAAAATGAAATAGTAGTTAACCTTTTTTTGAAAGTTTCCATTTATATGGATTGGATACTGAAGTAAATCATTTCTAATTATTAACGTTAAAGGGTTTGCAAATTTGGATCATCCATACCGCGAGAATAATAAATTCAAAATATATCAAAAGCTGCAGATGATTTGAAGTTCCATAACCAAAAAGAGGACATAGAGATGACTACAAGTGAATATTCTCTCTCCCAATACAAAAAACACTTAGAATTCAAGATATTATCGTGTCTTTCCGTAAAATTCAAAAGTTCTCTTATCTCTCCATGAAAGTTTGCAATATCATGCCAAGTAAATTCATTTTGTTTTCTTTCAATTTGAGAAATTATTCTTTGTATTGATACTAATTCAAGTCTATTTTTCTTTATTTTAAATAGATCAAGTTTTTAATAAAGAATAAATCAAAGCTAAAATAAAAATAGCATGCAGATTATAAGAGCAATTTTATCATTTAAAATTCTAGATAAGCAGCAAATTACATATCTTTTTCAAGATTCTTTCATTTGAATATTCATATAATATATACTTTATATCACAGAAATTTTTATAATAATATAAATTAATATTTCTTTATTAATAAAAATAATAAGATGTTTTTAATTAAAATATAAATTTCTGATTTATAACATTATAATTATATATTTTTCCAAATAATATAATATTTTTTCCTTTGAAAAATTAACAGAAAATATGATGAATTGGAATTATACACTCTGAAATTCATGTTTAAAATTATTAGTTCAGAATTTTATACAAAATATTTTATATATATTCTTTTATTATAATTAGTTCTTCATCAAAATATTTCTTAATCATAATTATATATATATATTAAATTAATAGACAAAAGCTAGAAGTATTTTATATTCTTTTAAATACTTAAATTTATTCAATTTGAATTTAAAGATCTTGATAAAAGTATATAATACTTAAAATAATATAAAACTTTAGTAGACTAATAATATATAGATCTAATAATTTCATTTGCTTTTGTATTTTATTTATATAAATAATATAATAAGTATTCAAATCTAAGCATAAATATTATAAGCTAAAGACTTTATTATTTAATTAATAAGATGCAAAATATAAAATAATATCTAATACTCTTCAGAATATTTCTTACTTTTTGTAATAGTTTTTTTATAAATATTACTAGATATTTCACAAAAATTAATTATAATTTATATTAAATTATTATTATTTCTAAATTTCTAACTGATATTTAGTATATAATTATAAAGTATCTAATATAATAACTATTAGTAATAAGAAATTTGAATCTGTAATATCTTAATATATATTTTTATTTGTTTATTAATTAATTTTATAATAATAATAAATATTTAATAAAATAAACTCTAATTTAAAAAAAATTTAATAAGATATAAGAATTATAATATAAAATTATAATATTTTTATAAAAATATTTATATAAATAAATATTTATCAATAATTTTTAAAAAGATAATAAAATATTAAATATATAAATAATTAATTATTATTATATTTCAATACAAAAAATTGATATATTAGATAAATATTATTTTTTCAAAATAAAATTTTAATTCTGTCTTGTTTAATTAAGCTAGAATTTATTTAAATATAAAATTTTTTATTATGTATCTTTTATAAAAAAAATTTTACTAGTATAAACTTTTTTGAATTATTATTTCTTAAATTTTATTATATAAAATTTGATTAAAATTAATATAAAAATTGTATAATAAATAAAT